CAGGATACCCTCCAGTCCCTGTTGATGATTAATACAGTGCTCTATCTGTTAAATATATTATAGAACATTCACATTTTCCCTTAAATGGACATTGAGTCTCTTGGGATGATGTGCTACTTAGGTCATCCAGCTTGTCCAGGAAAATTCATTTACTAAGATTACTTCAATGGAGAGGTGTATGCTATTCACAGCTTTACAGTAAGTTCCTAGTTTCATTGCTTCAGTCAGCCTTCCTTTATTTCTTTATCTGAATGATTTTGTTTTAATTCTTAACACCATCTCATCTTCTTGCTTGCTTAGCCCAAATGACAAGTGATTTTTCTATGCTAGATTAAGTGGTTTGCTGTCAGAACGTCAGCTTGCCCACACCTTTCAAAGTGTGGGTAAGCTATGTTTCTGTGTTAAATAAAACAAAAATGTGAAGCCAAAATAGAAACAAAAGGTCAGTGGCACCTTAAAGACTAACAGATCTATTTCAGTGTGAGTTTTGTAGATTACTGTACCATCTGCTTTCTTGAACACATAGTGTTTAATAGGTTGGCAATAGGTTTATATCCACAGAGTTCATAGCACAGGGGGAGGAACCAAGTAAGGTGGGAATAGGAAAGTGATAATTAAATTGGCTTTTAGAATGACAGTGGTCCACTAACAATAAGTCAAAGTGCTAATTACATATGACACCCTATTATCAACAATTAAATGTTGTACTGAGGTAGCATTATGTCAAGGAGGGAAACCTTTTAATTGCATGAAAGACCATGGAAAAATTAAGAACATTAACATATACGGTATACTAAGAATCTTTAGTCCTTATTTAACCCTTTTGGTGTACAGTGGGATCTGTGAGGATAGCCCACTTCAACAGTCTTTACTTTGAATTTCACATGATAATTCATTTTTCCCCTATAACGATAACTTTGACTGATGTGGTAGAATGCCCTGGGAAGTTTAACTGTTCGGAAAGTGCCATTTCTGATATCAGATTTCTATCCTTTTTTTTTTCTTGAATAGAGACTGCCTTATTTGCACTGTGTAGAATTCAGAAGGGCTGTATTGGCAAAGTACAGCACAGACCACATTAGCAAGTGTACATATAAACAATCCTCTGATGTGGTTAAGGTTGCTGGGGCTGATAATGGGGTTGCAGAGAAGATGTGGGAATACAACAGGCGATCTAATCCAGCTTTCCATATGAAATGTTCTGTGAACGTATTGAACAGATGGAGAGATAAAATACATCCTTATCTGACGCTTTTGTCTATCAGAAACATTCTGTCTCCCCATATTCTGTTCTGGCAGTAGCTTCCTGTCCACAATATAGGTTACAGTTGGACCCTCTACTTATGGAATTAATCCGTATTGGAACGGTGGCTGCAGGTCGAAAAGTCTGTAGGTTGAGTCTCCATTGACCTACAATGCATTGAAAACCGATTAATCCCGTAACCAGCCGTTTTTTGTTCCATTTTTGCTCCATTTTGTTTTTTTTTCTGGTCTGTAGGTCGATTCTCTGGCTGCAAGTCGCACCTAAATTTTGCAGCCAGAGAAGTCTGTAACTCGAAAAGTCTGTAAGTCAAGCCGTCTGTAAGTCGAGGGTCCACTATATACATAAGGCCAATCAAGTGCTAAAACACACCTGTTTCTTTCAGAACAATCCATAGCATCTCATGATCCATACAGTCAAAGGCTTTGCTAGGTCTATAAAGCATAAACTGATCTCCTGAAAGTCTTTGGTGCATTCCAGTAGACAGTGTGTACAGTGGGGTCTTGACTTGAGAACTTAATCCGTATTGGAAGGCGGTTCTCAAGTCAAAAAGTCTGTAAGTCAAGTCTCCATTGACCTACAGTGCATTGAAAACCGATTAATCCCGTAACAGGCCGTTTTTGTTCCATTTTGGTTTTTTTCTGGTCTGTAAGTCAAATCTCAGTCTGCAAGTCAAACCTAAATTTAGCGGCCAGAGAAGTCTGTAACTCAAAAAGCCTGTAAGTCAAGCCGTCTGTAAGTCAAGGGTCCACTGTATTGCAATATAATATTGGATGCCTCTTCCTTTATGAAATCCAGCTTGAATGTCAGGCATTTCTCACTCTTATAGGATAAGAATCTTGCAATACCTTGAGTATCACTATCTACATGGGATTGCAATAAAGTTGCAAAACCTTGATCATCACTTTGTCTATATGGAAAATTAGAGCAATGGTCCTATAGTTAGTACACTCATTAGCATCTATTTTTAATATACAGTACTGGGATGTATATTGAACATTTTCAGTCTGCAGGTCATTGTCTTGTTTTCTATATTTGCTGACAAATTCTTGTTAGGATTTTGACAGATTCTCCATCTGTAGCTTTTAATAATTCTATCAGTATTACATCTACTCCTGATAATTTAATTTCTTCAAGAGCGTTCAGAGCACCTTTCACTTAACATTTTAAAATATCAGGTTCTCAAAGGAATCAGTTATTTTATTTCTTCTGTAATTCTTCAATATATTATTTCTACCTTCTCTTAATTTTATCCTGGTCAGATAGTGTGTTTCCCTGTTGGCCTTTCAGCATTCCTAATTAAGATTTAAATTTCCCATTGATTTCTTTAATCTTTCGGAAAAGATCTGTTTTTCCTTTTTGTTTGGCGGTTGTAATAATTCTCTTTGCATCTACATGATAGCTGCTGAAAAGTCGCATTTACAATTCTGCCCCTACTTCTATTACCTTTCCAAGTTTCCTTCTCACCCTTTAACCATTTTAAGAGGTTCTCCCATCATCCATCTATGCTTCTTCTTCTTCTAATTACAGGAATAGTCTCATCCCACACATAATATATCTGATTTCAATCTACAGTCTTTCTGGTTGAGTCAATTATAATGTAAATCTGTTCTTTATGTGGATTTGAATAATGTAATCTGCTCTTCATGCAAACTTTAAATTCTTCAGAAATGTTATATATTGGCATTAGGATTCTTTTTGTGTTCTTTTTCAGCTTTACTCTAATTTTCAATATTAATAACATCTGCTCCTGGGCTTGCTTTGGCAGAGAGAATATAGCTTCTTGATCTTCTGCTTCCAATTACACAATCTAATTGATTGCCATATTGGCCATATAGTGATGTCCACATGTACAGTCATTTGTTTGGTTGATTGGAGTATTTGCAATAGATTGTTTGCTTCTATGAGTCATGCTCCTGCTTCATTTCTTACCTCTAGGCTGAATTATCTGCGTAAGCTTTGAAGAATACCTGCTGTAAATCCATGAGTTTTGAGTTTCTGTCTTGCGAATCAGAGTGGCTATATTGGAGGCCATGGTTGTAGACAGTATATTTTATTACGATTTCTGGATGGAATCTGGAGAAATGTAAGCATGTTCAGTGACCCATGATTTTCCAGAATAATGTGATGCTTAAATGTTGATTGTAAAGCTCCAGAGTGGAGTCTAAAAAGTGCCTGTTTTGTGGACTGATTGAGCATCAGGTAAAGGGTGAAACTGTAGACGTTCTGTTGGAATTTTTCAAGTGATTCCTTGCCACCACTACATCCACAATGGCTAAAATAGTGTAATCTTGCAGATTGTGAATGGACTAGAATTTCCCCAGAAAATCTGTTTTGTCTGTTATGTAGTTGGGTGCACTGGTTTAAAGATGGTATCAATGCACACCAGTTTGGTTTCCAAATCTAGCTTTGGCACAACTCTAGTGTTTTAACAGCAGTATGTGTAAAGAACAACAGCTGAAGCTTTTGCTGGCACAGAGATGAAACAATGTGGAATTTTCACTTACAGAAATACCACTAGTGATGGAATAGCTAAGGTATAGGGCAGGAATGTAGAGCTGCTGCAAGAAAATTGGCAAACCTCACTCAGATCCAACAATTAAAATATCTGAAGGGCTGGAAACATGGAAAATGAGCCTCTTGCTGTATTCCCTAGGGACTGAAAACTCTGATGTGAATCTCTAGTGACGCCTGCAGTTCCTTGTCATACATAATTTTTTTTTGCTTACTAGAGACATGATCTGTAGCAACAGCACTTATACTTAGCCTTCAAGCCTGAAATGAGCCATGATGAGCATAAGGCAATATTGTTTTTGACAAATCTGAGCTAGTAGTTCTCTGACATGACAGAAAATGTTGCATTGGTAATAAACCTGAGTTCATGATATAATGCATCTCTTTGGGCGCATCTCATTTGAGTGAGGCACCCATGCATGGATGAGTGGTGCACATACACACCCAAGCAGAATCCCCGTGAAGGTTGGGATATATTATGTCAGGGAATGGAAAATGGACCTAGTAACTAGTGCATCATTCAGGAAGCACTTACTAAAAGGGTGCATTTGGGGAAAATACTGGGAGGCTGCAAGTCCGGTCCCTAGCCAGCAGCCATGCCTGCTGTTCCATTTGCCTGGCGCTTGTACACAATCCCATTCTCTTCTTCGGTCAGTGATAGAATACTAGTAAGGCAGGAGAATGGTGGCTCATTCAACCCACTTCCTGGCCCTGGGCAGAGCTTATTCGCGCTCCGTTTCCGTTGTGGGGGAAGGGAGTCGTGGGAAACGTGTGTTGCTTTGTCCTCGTTTTGATTTCTTTATAGCAAACGTACAGTTTTGAACACAGATGTAATTAAGCGTATTTGCTTTTTAAAATCTGTTTCTAACCGGTATTTGGTCCCCCCCCCCCCAGTTATCGTTAGCTGTGTTCCACTTTTCGAGGAATACTGTATAAGACTAAAAAGGCTGAGGCTATGTAAGTGTGCAAGCGTACCTGGAAAAAAACACACACCATCAAACAAACTAATTCCGAGCAAACAGGGATGCGACTGCACTTCCTACTTATCGGAGTTCCTGAAGTTGGGGGGGGGGAGAGAGAAAACAACGGTCTGGGAAAAACTTCCAGCCTCGCTCTCGCTCCCTTTCCATTCTCGCGACAAGGGTAAAGACCGCCCTTCCTCCTCCTCCTCTTCCTCCTCCTCCTCCTCCTCCTCTAGGATTGCCCTCCTCCTCCTCTTCCTCCTCCTCTTCTAGGATTGTAGCCTTCCGGCAACTGCTGAGGAGAGTCACCTCGATTCTCCTAAAACCCAGGAAGTGAGAGGTTCGTGGGCAGGATCGCTGCAGTAGCGATGGCAGGTCAGGTGGTTCATAGTTTCAAACTCGCTCTGCTCTTCCCATAACCTCTGGTGATTAAACTTCCCCCTTTCCTCTCATCAGGTTAATTAAAACTCATTAACGCTGCTGTAGGAACTTTAACTCGCAGGAAGTCTCTTCTTGTAGGGCTTATTTACGCCTACCGTTGTACAAGGACACTTTTTGGCTATGGCCCTACATCGGTTTGCAATAATCTCTAATGAACTCTGGAAATAGTTTCCATCTCAAATGAACTGATTTGCCCACAACCTTTAGGTGGGTGTCATTTCTTTTTCTTCATCATTTCTCGTGCCACTCCTCCTTCAACTGATCAACCTCATGACTATTCTGGTTTTGGACGGTTATATCTTCTCTTTCTTTATTCGTATCAGAGAGTTGCATAATGCAAAATAACGGGCGCCCTTAAAATACTGGCAAAAAAAAAAAAAATTAAAATGCAAGACAGTCGCCAGAAGCAGTCAGAGCTTGACATGAGTGCAGTAATTTTTCCTCGACTTCAGCCAATGCTTTTGGAAATGCTATATGTTTAAACTCAACAATTTAAGAAGTAGATACCCACGTGTCCTAAATTTCTGTGAGGAGCCGGTGGTATTGGTGAGACAAGCTGTAGGGAGCTTAATTGGAGACCATAGCCTGACTTAAAATTTCAGCATTGGATCTTTTGCATGGGTGTAATGAAAAGGAGTTTTTGAGCAGAGAAGGAACACCCTTTATTTTTCTACTTGGTACAAGAGATCCACATCACTCTAGATATGTAAGTCATAGGTTAGTGCAATGAATGTAAACCCACAAATCCAGAAGGTGACCAGTGCAGAAGTACTAAGACACATGTACAGACATAATGAAACCACATAGGGTGCTTAATGGTTCAGTTGCATAATGAGAAACGAAAAGTACAGATTGTTAGAGCTGATCATTCATCTTGCATAATGAGAAACAAAAAGTACAGATTGTTAGAGATGATCATTCATCTCTACATCAAGGAAAAGAAGTGTAGGAAGGAGAGAAACATATTGGTTGGAATCTAGTTTGGATGCAACAACAATATTGCCTAAGAATTCTAAAACTAGAAAAGCAGTGATGACCTTTAACCCTCAGTAGGAGAGGAAAAAAAGAATTGTATTGTCAAATAAAGGGGGAAGATCAAGTGGGCTCCAGCCAGTATATGGCTGCCTCACAATGCCAGCTGTATACCGTGTTTCCCCCAAAATAAGACAGGGTCTTATATTATTTTTTGCTCCAAAAATGCATTAGGGCTTATTTTCAGTGGATTTTTTTACATTTTTAGGGCTTATTTTCAGGGGATTTTTTTTACATTTTTATTCATGTACAACAATCTTCATTTATTCAAATACAGTCATGTCATCTTCTTCCGGTTGCTGCCCAATGCTGTCCAATAGTGGAGGGCAGGGTTTCACTTAACTGGGGCATATTTTTAGGGTAGAGCTTATATTACAAGCACCCTGAAAAATCATACTAGGGCTTATTTTCAGGTTAGGTCTTATTTTCGGGGAAACAGGGTAGCTGTGAAGTTTTGCAAGTCACTCTGTTACCCTGCCTCTAGGTTTTCCATTCCCTTTCCCAGTCAGTCACTACAAGGCACAGTAAGCATTCTCCTTTAGCTGTTTTTAGAGTCCCCTGCCACCATTCCATAACTTTCCCTGTAAAGCTTTCTCTTTTGATTTTCTGCAACTATTTTGGTTTCCTCCTGCCTGCTGATGGCTCCCTATTTTGCAAGAGTGCTGCCATTTTATGTAAATAAGACCTTTTTATTGAGAATGGACTTTGGCATGAACTGCCCTGAGAACACAGGTTGGCCCCTGCCCTCTTGTCCTTCCATCCTCAGGCAAATACTTTTTCCTTCAGGCAGGCTTTTCAGCAGTTAGTGTCTCAGGAATGGTAGTTTTTAACTTACAGATTTTTAAATGTTTTAAATTTGTTTTTAAACATGAGTTTTTAATCAGTTAAAATGTAATTTTAATTTAATATATGTTTAATTGTTTTAAAATATATTTATATAGTCTTTTAAAAATCTGTTATCTGTTGTGAGCCACCTTGTGCCCCCTATGGGAAGAAAGGTGGCGTATACAGAAAATCAGTCAGTCAGTTGATTTAATTGGTCTTTAATTACATAGGTGGTGGCTTTCGTTTTTTTCTTTAAAATTTGGCCAGAGTCCCATTGGAGTTTGGGCGTGGTTTGTGTAACCTGTCATAGCTAATTGTAGCTTATTGACAAAGGTGCATCTTGGCTGGGTGCGTATCAGGCACATATCTGAGACAGGCTCCATCACTTTGTCAGGTAGTCATACTTAGCTGCTACAAGTTATGCAAGCCTGGCAGGAACTCCAATAGAATTCTGGTGAGTATGTTTTAATCTGTTTCATGTTGTCATTTCAGTTTTATTTTAGTACCTTCAAATTTGATATTGAATACAAATTTTATTGGTCTTGCTGTTGTTGGTAGAAAGGCAGGATATAAATATAATTAAGAGTAAATAAGTACAGTACTCTAGAAATAAGTTTACATTGTGATGGTATTTTAATGGAAACTTTTACATTCGGAACAGATCTTGGAAGAGTTACATGATCATGATGGCAGGGGGATTCTGTGAGCTGTAGTTCTAGAAAGTAACTTTCCTAAGCTCCGGTTCATAGATGTGTGAAAGGGTTCTCTCATCATTGTCCTAGGAAAAACTAGAGGTGCCGCCTCCTTTGCCTTCTCTTACATTCTCCCCAGTATGACAGCAGGAGTTTACTTTTATTCCTACAATCTATCTTTTCCAGAGCTAGTTTCATCCAAACCATCTCTCTTATCAAGGGATCCTGCAGGCTCCAGCCCCAACTGGGGTAGCAACCAACCCCAACCGGGGGGTGGTGGTGGTGGTGTTGCAACTTCTGCGGCTCCTCAAGCACTTCCCTCTGTCTGTCTCAACTCTCTCTATCACCTCTACCCAATCTCTCTTGTCTTTGATATCCTCCTCTATTATCACCCCCTTCTCTTCCCCCTGAGCCATTGCCAGCAACGCTATCACTACTGCCAGAACTATTCCCACTATTTCTTTCTTGCACTTTTCCTCTTCTCCTGAGATTGGTTTTCTGATCCCCTGTAATTGCAATTCTGTTATAGCCTTCAATATGATATAAACAGTTTTGTATCTCTCTGCCATGGACGATGGAGGGGACGGCTCACTCTTGCCTCCTATTGCTTTCAGCTTTTCTTCTTCACAAGATGACACACTGCTTCTGGATGGCAGCAACAAGGAGGGAAGGGCTGTTCCCTTAATTTATTGCTTATCAGCTTACCAAGAGAATCTGCAAAGATACAGAGAAATGGCATCCAAGATGGCTTAGGAGCTCACTGCCTGATATTCCATATCTTGCTGGGAAGACACGTGCTGTAGTCACATCTAACACAGAGCACTGTTTACTTGCTTATCTTGCTTTATTTGCTTACCAAGCATCACATCTTACATGAAACACAGCCCTCAGGACCAAAGCAGATATACAGAGAAACCAGATTTCACAAGTAGTGCTCCCTCAATTGCCAGAAAGGATTTAATTGTGAACAAATATTAAAAGAAGAAGCATGTGTCATCTGGATTATCTCCCAGAAGAAAACAATGGGCTTGTCTACATGGTGTAAAAAGTGTGGGTGGGGTTGGGCTGAATAGGGCCATTGGGAGGTCCGGTATGTCATTTGGTGTGATCTTTGTATCCAAATGGCATATAGACCTGAATGCCAATATGGTTTCATCAAATGAAAGATAAGACAAATTTTAACCCTTAAGCAAATTAATAACAAATATTCACTGCACCACTTTCAAAAAATAAAAGAGAAATGGGAAACTTTTTCCCAATGGCTTATTGGGCAGGCTGTTGACCAGATCTTAAAAAGAAAAGCAAACAAAAGCTTCAATTGCCTAATTCATGTTTAAAATTTATTTTCACTTCCTTGGCCCATTTACGGTGCCAGTATCCCGAAGTGGCAGTCTTATAAAACCACTTTACAATATTGGCAAAATAGAGGAATGCTCACTTTTGGGTTGTTTCTAGTGATCATGTGTCCTTGGTGTGATCTTTGTATCCAAATGGCATATAGACCTGAATGCCAATATGGTTTCATCAAATGAAAGATAAGACAAATTTGGAAAGGGACCAAACTAGATCGATCCTACAGTAGTAGAAGTCCCTGAGAAGGGCTCAGAAATGTGTGGATACAAACTCTTTGGGAGTGGGCTGGTTCATTCCAGCAAAGACATGGTCTGATCACCATCTTTAGAAGCCAACCAGCCCATCCTTGGAGTGGATCAAAAAACAGTCTAAATGCCTGTGCAGTGAGCCTCAATAGCTTCCTTTGTGTTTCTAATTTTAGAGTCACACATGACAAACTAGATCATGATTCTAGGGAGAAAATGTGATCAAGTTAGGGAAGATGTGTTTCTCTGAACATGTTTTGACTTCAGGAACACATTACGTAGTAGTCTACTGTGTCCAAATGGAGCTGTCCACCTTATCCACCTTCAATCTACAGGAATTGAATGACCAAACTTGAAAAAAAAACATTACTTTCTGTCCGTTGTTGAGACAGCAGGCAATAATATTTCCAGTTTCAAATTCATTCTACAGTGGGATTTTCTTAGCTTTGCAATTTTCATAGTCCTAATGTAGCCATCTTTCAGTCTCAAGAGACTATGACCACATGCTCTGAATAGAGGTCTTGGAACAGTGTCTAGTGTGGCTGAGAAGGCCAATTCGAGAGTAACAATCCCTTCTACACTGAGGACAAATACAATCTGTCCTCTGTCCAGCTCCCTGATTTTGCTGGTTTTGGGACTGCCTCTTTGTCTCGGCCTGCTGGACAAGGGTCTCTTCAAGTTGGGAGAGGCCATGATGCACCCCCTGCCTCCAGCCTGAACGCTCAGATGTCAAGGTTTCCCAGTTTACTGGATGTGTATTAAAACATATCCTGGAATGTAATGATACTGTAGTTGATAAATGCTGTTTCAGAAGTTGAACACGTTTACTAGTCAACTGTACGACAGAAAAGGAAAGTCCGAAATATCTCTGAATATTGTCATTGCTTGCTTTTTCTTGTCCATCTTTTTTCCTGCTCACTCTTTTTCCTACAGTAAGGATCATGGGATAGGAATGTTACATTTCCTGAAACATATCTATTAAATATATTTTATACAGAATAGTCACTTGCAAGTTATAAAACATCTTTTTCAAAAATAACCAGTAAGCTAGCAACGATAGCTTAGAGTGCCAGCTTTGTGAACCATTCAGTTTAGAGGGGCAGATACAGTTAAAGCATATGTAAAAAGCCCAATATCTACAAACATGCCTGCACCATGCAATGATTTTCTGTTCTTTCATTTCAGGCACCGTCTCAGAGCTGCAGTTCTTGGTCCCCTGGGGCCACATTGCAGCCAAGGCATGGGGCTCTCCAAAAGGCCGACCCGTGCTGTGTTTACATGGTTGGTTGGACAATGCAAACACGTTCAACAAACTCATTCCTTTACTCCCTAGAGGTGGGTCTGTGAGAAAGATATTCAAAAAGTTACTATCATGGACTAGTATCCCCAGAGGTCCCCAGCTGGGCTGAGTGGCTGTTCTGGGAGGTAGTTTTTAAAAAGTAGCTTTTCCACACTCTGTGTGTGGGTTGGCACATGACTTGTTCTTCTTTCCTCTTTCAGATTGCTATTACATGGCAATAGATTTGGGGGGCCATGGCCTGTCTTCCCACCGTCCAGTTGGATCTCTGTATTACCTCATGGATTATGTGGGTGATGTGCGAAGGGTAACAGCAGGTGAGCATGTTACACTTGTCTGTAGTATACGGACAGTTTGAGTTTCTCAGTGGTTTGAATACTGGTATGATTCCTAGCTACATACAAGCAGATTCCTTCTCACTCCTGATCAATGATAGTTAGACTTATTAATTTGTTTCCACCGGCCTCTGTCTGATGTCTTTTCAACCCATTTTCAAGAGCAAGCATATAAACGTACAGTATAGCCATGGATTTAGCTGGATCTCTCCATCAAACTCTCCAAAATAAAACATGACACAAGGCTAGTCAAAGCACACGGTGACCACATGAATTGCATTGTTGCATTGGCTGTAAAGGAATGGAGAATGTATGGCCCTCAGAGAGGTTGTTTAATTCAAAGCCTGTGCAGTGAGCCTCAATAGCTTCCTTTGTGTTTCTAATTTTAGAGTCACACATGACAAACTAGATCATGATTCTAGGGAGAAAATGTGATCAAGTTAGGGAAGATGTGTTTCTCTGAACATGTTTTGACTTCAGGAACACATTACGTAGGAGTCTACTGTGTCCAAATGGAGCTGTCCACCTTATCCACCTTCAATCTACAGGAATTGAATGACCAAACTTGAAAAAAAAACATTACTTTCTGTCCGTTGTTGAGACAGCAGGCAATAATATTTCCAGTTTCAAATTCATTCTACAGTGGGATTTTCTTAGCTTTGCAATTTTCATAGTCCTAATGTAGCCATCTTTCAGTCTCAAGAGACTATGACCACATGCTCTGAATAGAGGTCTTGGAACAGTGTCTAGTGTGGCTGAGAAGGCCAATTCGAGAGTAACAATCCCTTCTACACTGAGGACAAATACAATCTGTCCTCTGTCCAGCTCCCTGATTTTGCTGGTTTTGGGACTGCCTCTTTGTCTCGGCCTGCTGGACAAGGGTCTCTTCAAGTTGGGAGAGGCCATGATGCACCCCCTGCCTCCAGCCTGAACGCTCAGATGTCAAGGTTTCCCAGTTTACTGGATGTGTATTAAAACATATCCTGGAATGTAATGATACTGTAGTTGATAAATGCTGTTTCAGAAGTTGAACACGTTTACTAATCAATTGTACGACAGAAAAGGAAAGTCCGAAATATCTCTGAATATTGTCATTGCTTGCTTTTTCTTGTCCATCTTTTTTCCTGCTCACTCTTTTTCCTACAGTAAGGATCATGGGATAGGAATGTTACATTTCCTGAAACATATCTATTAAATATATTTTATACAGAATAGTCACTTGCAAGTTATAAAACATCTTTTTCAAAAATAACCAGTAAGCTAGCAACAATAGCTTAGAGTGCCAGCTTTGTGAACCATTCAGTTTAGAGGGGCAGATACAGTTAAAGCATATGTAAAAAGCCCAATATCTACAAACATGCCTGCACCATGCAATGATTTTCTGTTCTTTCATTTCAGGCACCGTCTCAGAGCTGCAGTTCTTGGTCCCCTGGGGCCACATTGCAGCCAAGGCATGGGGCTCTCCAAAAGGCCGACCCGTGCTGTGTTTACATGGTTGGTTGGACAATGCAAACACGTTCAACAAACTCATTCCTTTACTCCCTAGAGGTGGGTCTGTGAGAAAGATATTCAAAAAGTTACTATCACGGACTAGTATCCCCAGAGGTCCCCAAATGGGCTGAGTGGCTGTTCTGGGAGGTAGTTTTTAAAAAGTAGCTTTTCCACACTCTGTGTGTGGGTTGGCACATGACTTGTTCTTCTTTCCTTGTTCTCTTTCAGATTGCTATTACATGGCAATAGATTTGGGGGGCCATGGCCTGTCTTCCCACCGTCCAGTTGGATCTCTGTATTACCTCATGGATTATGTGGGTGATGTGCGAAGGGTAACAGCAGGTGAGCATGTTACACTTGTCTGTAGTATACGGACAGTTTGAGTTTTTCAGTGGTTTGAATACTGGTATGATTCCTAGCTACATACAAGCAGATTCCTTCTCACTCCTGATCAATGATAGTTAGACTTATTAATTTGTTTCCACCGGCCTCTGTCTGATGTCTTTTCAACCCATTTTCAAGAGCAAGCATATAAACGTACAGTATAGCCATGGATTTAGCTGGATCTCTCCATCAAACTCTCCAAAATAAAACATGACACAAGGCTAGTCAAAGCACACGGTGACCACATGAATTGCATTGTTGCATTGGCTGTAAAGGAATGGAGAATGTATGGCCCTCAGAGAGGTTGTTTAATTCAAACTTCCATCTTCCTTCACCATTGGCTGTACTTGCGAAGGTGGGTGGGAGTTGCAGTCCAGCAATAGCTATATGCCATATGTTTCTCACCATTGTTGTGTATGATTCTTAGTGTAGGCACAAATCTTCAGCTTTAATTCAGTACAACTTGTTAACAGATACTGAATCCAGGACCATTGTTTACTCTGGAAAGTGAATTGTTTCATGAATATCAATATGAAAATGTTTCCAGCTGCTAAAGTATGACCTGGGAGGAAAGCAATGACAAACCTAGACAGCATCTTAAAAAGCAGAGACATCACCTTACCGACAAAGGTCTGCATAGTCAAAGCTATGAGAAGACTCCCTAGAAAAGCCCCTGATGTTGGGAAAGAGTGAAGGCAAGAGGAGAAGGGGACAACAGAGGATGAAATGGTTGGACAGTGTCATTGAAGCTACCAACATGAATTTGACCCAACTCCAGGAGGCAGTGGAAGACAGAAGGGTCTGGCATGCTCTGGTCCATGGGGTCACGAGAGTCGGACACGACTTAATGACTAGACAACAACAAAAAGTATGACCACTGTATTTCTCGCATAGTCTTACTTCCTTTTAGGAAAATTCATACTGTGCCTTAGAATAGAATGCAGGGATACAGCAGTAAACAGAAATAAAGTAAGGCTCATATTAGTGGCAGTGAATCAATACATAACACCTTGCAATGACATATCCAAGTTCACTCTAGTGTTAATATAATGGGAGACTTAAGCAGAAGAAAGTTGCCTGTTAAGGTCAGTGGAGCCATGTTCCAGGCACAATTATTATCTTATATGGATGGTGAGGAAGTAGCTTCAGCTAGTAGCTCTGTAAACCACCAACTCCACTCATATGTGTGTTTCTTTTAAAGAAGGCAAGGGCATCAGATTGCCTCTGGAAGCTATGTTATGATGGTCAGTGGAATGTGCTCTCCAGGGGCATCAATAAATTAAGGGAGAATTTTTAATTGGTACTATACTGAATGCCTCTAAGCATATTCAGAGTATTTTTCTACACTGTTGACTGAAAACTTGCACCTTCTGTCTCTCTAACCAATTGGGATCAAAAACTGGAAATTGAATATCTTGACACAAAAAGAGAGTGAAATGCTATTATATCCTTTGCATTAGCAGGGCTCTGCTCGTAACACTTGAGTGATAACTTCTTCAGCTGTCCCTGATTTTTCAGACAGAAACTCTGGGTTGTCCTTTGATTCCTTTTCTTTCCTCTCTCTTGTCATCTTTGTGAAGGTGGCCCTGATGTCCTCTCTTTCTCATCCACACTCACAGCCTGCTTGCTGTTGTGTGTTTATGGGTGCCGTCAGTTTCATCCTATAAACCAGGGAAATTAGAACAAATTCCCCACTTCTGGTATTGTTGCTGAAGAATTTTTCAGTACTCCCGCTGCTATTTCTAGTACAAGCAGGACATACCAATGGAATTTATTAAAGTTGTGGGTGAAGGTTAAGCTTGGTACGTTGCTCCCTAGTATCTTCCAAAGAATTCAAGTTTGATTCATCAGCCAGTGACTTGGAGAATTATGCAATTTATGCCTTTTTCCTCAGAACGCAGCCGTAACAGTCACACAGACAATAATTGAAGCAAACACTATATATCTAATTGATACCAACAATTGCTGTCCTCTTTTTGTAACTGTAACATTAAAAAAATATTTGAAACAAAGTTCTTTTTTATGTGTGATATATGGTGAAACAGACTACAGTGGAGCCTCGCTTAGCGATCGCTCCATTGAGCGACAAAATCGCTTAGTGATGGGGTTTTGGCCATCGCAAGAGCGATCGCTTAGCGATGGTCTCTACGGGGGAAAATCGCTTTGCGATGATCGCAGGGAAGCGATCACCGCAAAGCCCCCATTTCTGGCCAGCTTGGCTGCCAGAAAAACAAAATGGCCACCCCCTGTGTTGCCTTGCTTTAGAGGCACCGAAAATGGCCGCCCCTATGGAGGATCTTCGCATAAGGTTAGTTTTTAAGCCCATAGGAATGCATTAACGGTATTTTAATGCATTTCTATGGGCTTTTTTATTCCGTTTAGCGATGAAATCGCTTAGCAACGTTTTTCTGGGAACGGATTGACGTCGCTAAGCGAGGCACCACTGTAATGGCTACTTCTTTAGTAATGGGGTCATTTTTCAAAATCTAAAAAAAATGGAGAGGCTGTTTGCCAGTCTTAATCATTCAGGACTAATATTTAGGTTAAGGTGGCTTTTTTAATTATCCATTTCCTACGAAGCATTTCTTATTCACTTCCTGTTTGACAGCCATCTCTTTTTTCAAAGAATTAATTTAGTCATTCTCTGACAAGTGGTTTCTTCTCAAGACCCAAGGTAAGCAAATGTTTGTATTTGGGTGATCTGAATGCAACATGTAGGACCTCAACTATGGGATCTTTGCTCAGATGCCGGGATCTTTCTGTTTTCTCTTTTTTAGCACTGAAATGGAACCGATTTACCCTTATGGGTCACAGTATGGGTAAGTGATTCTTGTCCCCTATGTCTCTTGGTTCCTATTTACACTGTAGTGAATGCTTAACTTTCAGTCAAATCTTTCAGAAGTCTTTACAGCATCTATTTCAATGAGGCAAACATTTCCTCTCGTTTCTTGGCTTATTAAACACTTAGTTTTCTTCTTACTACTCAGGTTCTGCCCCTTGGATGAGGAGGGTAGACTATTAATGTTATTACAATTATTTTATCCACCTTTGAGGGTAGAACTCTCTTCTAGGCAGCTGACCTTTGTAAGTAACATTAAAATACATTTTCATCCCAAGCACCAGGATTGGACACTTTGTCCCTTAGACATGTTTTCTTGTAGAATTCACACAGAATTAGATGTACATGGTAGGCATTCTATGACATGGTAACCCAAAAAGTATCTCCAAGTTTTAGCCCCTTGCTATGTACAATTTTGTTTGGTTCTGGTTTTTTTGTTTGTCTGTTTTTGGCACAAATCCACTGCTTTCTGCTATTGGGCAATTTTTTTTTCTCCCAGTAATTATCAATATTGTGGGAGAATAAAATTATTCTTGTACAAACCATAATGTTGAGAAGCAAAAGTGACCTTTTGTGGTTGTCAATAGATTGGCTTGTTTGGTGAGAAGAACTGAAATTCTAAGACAGTTCAGGAAATGCATGCAACCCATCCCCAAACCTAACTACATTGCTAATGATACTGCTAACCCTCCATTGATTGGCAGTATCATGAAGTCAAAAACTCACACCTCACTTGATTCTAAGTATTTAAAAATGTCCACGGACCTGCACCAGGCTGGAGATCTGTCTCAGTGACCTGGTCCCACCATGGTCACAAACTGGCACCGGGCTGCGGACCGGAGGCTGGGGACCCTTGAGTTACAGGCGGCAGTCTCCTTTCCACAGACAGTTGGTGACACAGGGTCCTGTAAGGCTGGAGAGAGAATAAAGTCTAGTTTGGAGTACGCTCTAAAGTTTCCTTGCCTGCTTCCTTACTTGGAGGTTCCTACCCACATAGCAGGGTTGATCATATGATAAGTAGTCTTGGTCCTGACTCTGTATTAAATCCACTTCCTTTTCTTTCATCTAGGTGGAACTGTTGCTGGCATGGTGAGTCTGTTGATCATAGGGTGTTAACCATGTAAGAGTGTAATTTCTCATTGGAACATTTTTTGCCCCACGGCAGATGCAAAAGCGAATAAGAAATATGATCTAGGTAGGACACTTATACCTGTAATAAAGGAATTGAACTTCTTCTTTCTCCCTGTATCTTCCTAGTTCTCATGTGTTTTCCCTGAACTGGTGGAGAAGCTGATATTGGTGGAATCATATGGTTTTTATCCAGCTGCAAAGGTTAGATTTTAAAATTGTTGTGATATGTTTGAAAGACTTGACATAAACGAAGTGAACCTTGCTGTTCCAAAAAAAGAAGAAGCTATTGTTATGCAGAAAAATGAATCTGAGGCCCTGTCCAGACAGGGAATTTGTATTGGTCTGGTTCACACTTAAAAGGTTTTTATTTTCATTGTGGTCTATTTTATCACTCACTTGAGCAATCCTTCTGTTCACACTGGAGATGTTTATTCTCCTGTGAGGAGGGGTTAATTCAAGCCTTTGGATCGCCAGTTTACTCTTGTGTACCTGGTTTGCCTGCAAGTGAGGTTTACCTGGTGTACTTCCAACGAGGGAAGCAACAGTGACGTGAGGGGGAAACGTTGGGGTGAAAGTTGGGGAGACAGAAGGGAGGTACCCCCCTTCCTGCCTGTCTCCTCAGCTGGGGCTCTGCTGCCTTGTAGGGGCTAGAGATGTGAAATTTCCAGAAATTTTGAAGCCATATAAAATGGCTTTGGAAAAAAATAGGAAAAAAATAGTCCCCCCCCCCCCCAATTTTTCCATTTTCTACCCAGGCCTTCCCATTTCTAGTGGAGGTGGAGCCCGTGGAGTTGACATAACTCCCACCCCCCCCCCCCCAATTTTTCCATTTTCTCCCCAGGCCTTCCCATTTCTAGTGGAGGTGAAGCCCATGGAGTTGACATAACTCCCTTCCCTGCCTTTTCTCACAGCCATCATTCATCTGGCTGGTGTGGCTTTCCTTTTTGTTGTTGTTAAATAAAGTAAGTGGCATATCAAAAGAGCAATACATCAGCCTAGCATGGTATCACAATTGCACTGCATCAGTTAAAAAAATATGAAAAAGAAGATGAAAATAGAGGAAGATTTTTTCCATCTGCCCTTTTATTGTCACAGCTCACCTATTACACTAAAATAGTTGTCACCTCTGTGCCTCATGGTGCAGTGGTTAAACTGCTGTACTGCAGCCAAAACTGTGCTCATGATGTGGGGTTCAATCCCAGGCAGCCGGCTCGAGGTTGACTCAGCCTTCTATCCTTCGGAGGTCAGTAAAATGAGTACCCAGCTCGCTGGGGGGGGGGGGCAATGTGTAGCCTGCATAATTAACTTGTAAACCGCCCAGAGAGGGCTTGAAGCACTATGGGGCGGTATATAAGCAGCACACTTTGCTTTGCTTTGCTTTGATAATGCAGCCCACAGCTCCATTTGGGTTTGAACTAGCCATCTGCACAGTCTACACAACGGGATAATTAGGATCCTACTGAATCATGCCAAAATACAGAACCCCCTAGTGTTGTGCCAGAAAGGTATGTGAAAGCTCTTAAAGGAGCAGAATGGTTTGGTCTAAGTAGAACCATGAGTGGATGATGCAATTTGATTTCAGCCAAATGTACTGATCTTTATACTCAGTTGGACAGGTCCTGAAATGAAGTAGATAGGAACTGATTTCACCTTTTATCTTCCTTGAGAGCATGTGTTACTTTAAGAGTGCATGATACAGGAAAGGAATTTACCCTAACAATTTCCTTTTAACCAAGCATTTTTCCAACTTCTAACTAGAAGGACATATGCTACAGAAATGGCTGAAATTGTGTTGTGTAATGTAATAAGTGGACGAGATGGTTGAACAGTGTCATCGAAGCGACCAACATGAATTTGATTGAACTCTGGGAGGCAGAGGAAGACAGGAGGGCCTGGCGTGCTTTGGTCCATGGGGTCACGAAGAGTCGGACACGACTTAATGACTAAACAACAACAACAGTGTAATAAGATGCACTAAATTAGGCCCATCGAATAAGTGGAGATTTGGTAAGTCAGCTCGTTCATAAACTCCATTGATTTGGGTCATCTAACCCACTGGTTCTTAACCTTGGGTTCCTCAGGAGTTTTGGACTGCAACTCCAAGAAGCCTTCACCACCAGCTGTCCTGACTGGGGTTTCTGGGAGTTGCAGTTCAAAAGCATCCGAGTAACAAAGGTTAAGAACCACTGATCTAACCCAACTTTTAGTGGTGTAGGAAAAGAATAGCAATATGTTTGCAATGTTTCCTGCAATGTGATAAATCCAGCAAGGCATCATGATAGCTGTGGATTGAATTTTGAATATAGGTAAATATGTTTGCTTTTATTTTGTGAAGGCAAAAGAAGGAAGTACAATGGCAAAAAAGGCAAGAGAGGGAGGGAAAGACAGACCAAAAATCCAAGAAAAAAACCAGAAGTTTAATAATGAAAGAATAGATGTATAAATATCAATGAAAGGCAACCGGATATCCAGTTTATGGCCATGCAAAGGTGACAGTTATGCCAGACATTCAAAAGGATTTTATTTTATCTCAGTTCATCAAATAATGGAGGCAAACATTTGTTATTATTTGTTTATTTAAAATTTTTCTATGCCGCCTTTCTCCCTAAAAGGACTCAAGTTTGCATTATGAATAGGAGTGAATAGCCAACAAAAATCTATGATGAATCAATTCTTGTTGATCAGTAGTTAATTCCTAAGAACATAAAAGCTTTAAAAAGAACAGGCACATCTGTTAATTTCAAAAATTGTTCCAATGCAATTTTAAAGATCCATTAGGTGAATTACACCAATTGATAGTGTTATTCAGGCATTTGTTAAAAAGTTGTTGTGGTACCCAGCCGTTCAAAGTGAAAATTACTCTGTCAAGCCATGCCTTCTAGAAAAAGGACTCCTCCTCATTCTCAAATCTAGATTTCTCATAAAGTCAAATTAGCATGAGAAAATAGATCAAATTGGTTCAGTCTAAAAGGCTGTGTGTTCCCCAAGATCACACAAGTGTAACAGTGGGTTGACCACTACAAATAAAACAAATTGCAAGCTTTTGTGGGAGAACATTCCACTTCTTCAGGCTTATGAATAGTGCAGAAAAATTACATACAAGAGTTCAAAAATTAGTGGCACGTGTCTATGAGAGTTGAATTCTGAAGCTGGGGATTTTTATACCACTTTCCTAGAACCAAAAGGTAGCCAGTTACTCTGTGATTCCCTTTCCCCACATGTGAGTATAAGCTATTCCACTCCTACCATGTGAGCTTAAATTAAGCGTATGGATCGCAGTTGTATATATGCTGTCCTAGGTGAGCTCCGTTAAACTTGTAGGAGGTTGAACTAGTAAAATGTACACATATGTATCAGAGTATCTTCTGTAACTTGTTGGTATTTCAAACAGTAATGGAAACAGTCATGCAAAACAATTTTTTCACAAACTGTAGTAAACTTGCAAGGTGTGTTTTTGTTTGCTTGTGGGAAGAGGGAAAGGGAGCCTGCTCAAACCTGGCTACATACTGGTCCTGCAGCTGGTGGTGGTTTTGTGTCTCTTGTGAGATGTTTTGCATGCAAGCACCTACTACAGAAAGGAGAGAACTGCTTCTTTTATAGGAGTCAGAGAAGATCCTACTTTTTAAGCGGGCTATGATAGAGCATCTGCTGAAAACAGAAGCCAACCCACTCCTGTCCCCCAAAGTATACACCCCAGAAGCGGCACTTCAGAGGTAAGTCCTTTTCTTGTATTCTGCAATTATTTGTGTCCATGTCTTGTACTTAAAGCTTCAAGAAGTTACTTTTTTTCCTGGGATCTGTTTGTGCTGAAAGCATGGCAAGGTTTATCCTGCCCAATGTGTGATCTTGTAGGTAACTTTCTTCAGCATCGGTTTCAAAAGTTCTGCTTCTTAGCAAGGGAAATACTGAAGATTTGGAACACTCACGAAGCTATTTCTGTTGCAGCCACTCCTCTGCCAGTGGTAGTTCAGGGTATGGACATGGTAAAGACTTTTCTATTCAGGCACTCTGGGTAGGTAACTATCTGCAAAGCAGTGGGTTTTTAATCAGTGTATACTATACATTTTTGTTGAGATTTCAGATAAGAAGTATCAGATTACACCTAGCAATACCTACTAAGATGGGGGAGGCCGTGGTGGGTCTTTATTGCATTAAAAACACGTTTGGATGCAGTTCAGAGATCCTGCTGTTACCAAAGGCAAAATACACCAGTGCCTGAACTAGAATAGAGCAGAAACTTGTTGTTTTTATGTCCTGTCAAACTGCTTAAGATTTATGCTGATCCTATGAATTAGTGACCTCCAGAAGGTCTTTTTGTCAAAAAGCCCTACTTGGCTCTTGCAAACTCAAGGCTGTGACTTCGTTTATTGTGTCAAGACCAACTCTAATTTGGTCTTCCTCTTCTCCCGTTGCCTTCAACTTTTCTCAACATAAATGGCTTTTCCAGTAAGTCTTATGTCCTTATGATTTCCCCAAGGTATTATAGCTTCAGTTTTGTCAGTCTTGTTTCTATTCAGGCTTGATTTGCTTTAACAACCATTTGTATCTCTTTCTGTCAGTCTGTGGTATCCGTAAAGCTATCTTCCAGTACTACATTTCACACAAATTAGTGTTTTTCCTGTTGGCTTTTTAAATTGTCCACCTTTTACATCCGTGTATAGTAAACGGGAAT